CTCCACTGGACACAGCCAGAAGAAGACTGGCCACACCTCAGAGCCTGGTTCCTCTCTAGGTTTCTTCCTAGGTTCCTGCCTTCTAGGGAGTTTTTCCTAACCACTGTGCTTCTGCATCTGCATTGCTTGTTCTTTGGGGTTTTAGGCTGGGTTTCTGTAAAACTGCTGATGTACAAACGGCTTTATAAAATATGTTTGATTGATTGATTCTCCTTCCCTGCCAGGTATCCTGGAGTTCTTCCACCACCAGCTGAAGGACATTATAGAGTACGCTGAGCTGAAGACTGATGTCTTCCAGAGTCTCAGGGAGGTGGGGAACGCCATCCTCTTCTGTCTGCTCATCGAACAAGCTCTGGTGGGTCCCTCCTTCTCTTCTCCTCTTTCACTTCTATTCCTTCCTCCTCTGTTCTGTCCTTTCCTCCTTCCCCCATCCTCTTCTGTCTGCTCATCGAACAAGCTCTGGTGGGTCCCTCCTTCTCTTTCAACTATATCCTTTTCTCTCCTGTTCTGTCCTCCCCTCCTTCCCCCATCCTCTTCTGCTTTACCTGTATCCCTTCTTTTCTCTTTCTCCTTTCGTCTTCCCTTCTCTACTCTCCCCCTCTCCTACTCTCCATCACCTCTCTCCTCTCTTCCTCCCATTCCCGCTTTCTCTTCCTCTCTCTCTCTCTCTCTCTCTCTCTCTCTCTCTCTCTCTCTCTCTCTCTCTCTCTCTCTCTCTCTCTCTCTCTCTCTCTCAGGGTCACCTTTGCATTCTCAGAAAGAGGGACTGCTACTTGTCAAGCGATTTGTCCTCCTTTGGCTTTCTGTCTGTTTTAATATATCTGTCTCAATAAAGTTTCACCTTCCAGAAATGTTGATATTGACTGTATCTGAATTGCAACTCTATTCTTTATTACACGCTGGCAAACTACCACAGGTGGTAAGAATCTAGGTCTTGTCTTTGGTAACAAACACACAACCTGACTGATCTCTCCATCTCTCTCTCTCTCTCTCTCTCTCTCTCTCTCTCTCTGTTTGGGCTGTCACACACCCTGACTGATCTCTCCATCTCTCTCTCTCTCTCTGTTTGTTTGGGCTGCCGTGTTTCTCTGTTTTTCTATTCAATATCTTACTTTGACACCCAAAGTTTTACCTCCGGAGGACAATGAAAGCCAAGGATTGAGACTAAAAAATGTTTTAAGAAAATAAAGAACATCCAAGATTACAATCATTATTCTATAATTGGAAATACCATAATTGGAAATAAATGGATAATAAAAAGGGACTATCGTAAAATATCTCTCCATGTCCTTGGCTCCCATGGAAGAGGTGACCTGTGTGTTTCTGGGTGGCTGTCTGTAAAGTATGTGCTCAACTTCTGCCTCCATACTCTCTGCCAACACTGGGTTCTCTCTCAATGCCTGACTGTCACTCTTTACACCCTCATACCGTCTGGTCTGTCTGTCTCACTCTCTGCCTCGGTGTGTGTATAGTGTGTGTTTGTACTGGCTGATCATTGCGTGCATATCATTCTGTCTTCCATAGTGTTTTAGGCGAGGTTTCCTGATCTGGATCTCTTGTCGTTTGCTGGTTTTCTTTGTTCTATTTGTTCTAACACCACTCATTTAACCATGAGTTTAGTTCCAGACTTATTCCAGTCATTTCTAGTGGTTAGCCAGACCTGAGTGACAGTAGCCTGTAGTGTGACTGGGGGGGGTGTGACCAGAGGTTAGGTCAGACCCATGACACGTCAGACCAGTGTCCTCCTGTACTTAGTGGCGCATCCTCCTGTACTTAGTGGCGTGTCCTCCTGTACTTAGTGGCGCGTCCTCCTGTACTTAGTGGCGCGTCCTCCTGTACTTAGTGGCACAGCCTCCTGTACTTAGTGGCAGATCCTCCTGTACTTAGTGGCACAGCCTCCTGTACTTAGTGGCACAGCCTCCTGTACTTAGTGGCACAGCCTCCTGTACTTAGTGGCACAGCCTCCTGTACTTAGTGGCAGATCCTCCTGTACTTAGTGGCAGATCCTCCTGTACTTAGTGGCAGATCCCCCTGTACTTAGTGGCAGATCCCCCTGTACTTAGTGGCAGATCCCCCTTTACTTAGTGGCACAGCCTCCTGTACTTAGTGGCAGATCCTCCTGAACTTAGTGGCACATCCTCCTGTACTTAGTGGCACATCCTTCGGTACATAGTGGCACATCCTCCTGTACTTAGTGGCACATCCCCCTGTACTTAGTGGCACATCCTCCTGTACTTAGTGGCACAGCCTCCGTCACCACTAACCACCCCATGTAGTGTAGATGTGTACAGGAGAGATTATGGCTGTTGTTCAATATCACCTCTCTCTCCTTCTGTCTGTTTGTGTGTGTGAACCACAGTCCCAGGAGGAGGTGTGTGACCTGCTTCATGCAGCCCCCTTCCAGAACATCCTCCCTAGGGTCTACATCAAAGGTATGTGATCCAGGTCCAGGTGTGTGGATCCAGATGGAGATCAAGGTGGATGGGTGGAATAAGGCAGTCAATATTGTAATGCATATCTGACTGATGTGGTTGGTGTAGTAACGTGTGTGTGTGTGTGTGTGTGTGTGTGTGTAGAGGGGGAGCGTCTGGAAGTCAGGATGAAGAGGCTGGAGGCTAAATATGCTCCTCTCCACCTGGTGCCCCTCATCGAGAGGCTGGGGACCCCTCAGGTGAGCTCTACCTGCTTGTAATCATCATCATCCAAACCTTATCACCTGGCTCTCTGTCCTGACCCACAGCCATTAGACCGTTTCGGCAATCTTGGTTTAAAATGTAGAATTTGAAAGGGCAGCCATATTGGCACCAAAGTTCCAAAACAATTAAACTTTCCCTATTTTATCTGCTCTCCTACTCCATGGTGTCGGTTGGTATGGGTTTGTGCTGGTAGAGGGAGGGCGGGAGGGGAGAGGGTGAGGAGGGTGGGGGAGGGAGGGATGGGAGGAGGTGATGGGCGTTGGAGGGACGGGAGGGAGTGAGGGAGGGGAGGATGATGGAGGTTGAGTGAGGGAGGGTTTGGGGTGGAGGTATGAGTGATGTGGATTTTGAGGGAGTATTTTACGTTATTGTATTTGTTGTTTTTCTTTCTTTCTTTCTTCTTCTTTCTTCTTGCTCTTGTCTTTTTCTTTCTTTCTTTCTTCTTCTATGTGTCCGTTCCTCCTCTTTTTCAGCAAATAGCCATAGCCCGTGAGGGGGATCTCTTGACCAAGGAGCGTCTTTGCTGTGGCCTGTCCATGTTCGAGGTGATCCTCACAAGGATCCGTAGTTTCCTGCAGGACGCCGTGTGGCGAGGCCCGCCCCCCACCAACGGCGTGATGCACGTTGATGAGTGTATGGAGTTCCACCGCCTCTGGAGCGCCATGCAATTTGTTTACTGCATCCCCGTCGGCACTCACGAGTTCACCGCAGAGTGAGTTACTGTAGGGGGCATGGCAGCGTACTCACACAGTAAGGAGTGAGTTACTGTAGGGGGCATGGCAGCATACTCACACAGTAAGGAGTGAGTTACTGTAGGGGGCAATGGCAGCATTACTCACACAGTAAGGAGGGAGTACTGTAGGGGGCATGGCAGCATACTCACACAGTAAGGAGGGAGTTACTGTAGGGGGCATGGCAGCATACTCACACAGTAAGGAGGGAGTTACTGTAGGGGGCATGGCAGCATACTCACACAGTAAGGAGTGAGTTACTGTAGGGGGCATGGCAGCATACTCACACAGTAAGGAGGGAGTTACTGTAGGGGGCATGGCAGCATACTCACACAGTAAGGAGGGAGTTACTGTAGTCCTCTCAGGGCACCAAAGAGTATAGTGCAGATATACATTTAGTAGATAAACCAATCACTATTCAATCAATCAAGCTTGATTTATAAAGTGTTTTCTACAAATACAAAGTACTTACTAAGTATAAAGTTAGTAACCGTAACCCGTCCCTGTGCGTGTCCTCTGCAGGCAGTGTTTTGGTGACGGGCTGAACTGGGCAGGCTGTTCCATCATCGTGCTGTTGGGTCAGCAGCGCCGCTTCGACCTGTTTGACTTCTGCTACCACCTGCTCAAGGTGCAGAGGCAGGACGGCAAGGACGAGATCATCAAGAACGTGGTGGGTACACACCGTCGCTATGCTCAGATCTACACAGTTTTAACCAGCATGCTAACACAGAAGTAAGATGACAGAAGGGATTAAGGGATATGTCAACTGCCGTGCGATTTTATTTATTTGTTATATGAGGAGAGGAAGCTCACCATCTTTATGGTGGCAAGTCCTTGGCAGCTACAATCCAGGTCTGTGGTTTAATTCTATCATTGGATTCAAACCCTCTCTCTCACTCTCTGTCGGTCTGTCTCTCTCTCTGTCTCTCTCTCTATATCTCTCTCTCTGTCTCTCTTTCTCTCTCTGTCTCTCTCTGTCTCTCTACAGCCCCTGAAGAAGATGGCTGATCGCATCAGGAAGTACCAGATCCTGAACAACGAGATCTTTGCCATCCTCAACAAGTACATGAAAGCTGTGGAGAGCGATAGTTCCACCGTGGAGCATGTCCGCTGCTTCCAGCCACCTATACACCAGTCCCTGGCCACAACATGCTGAGAAGAACACACACACGCTACAAACATACATGCTACACACACATGTGCTACACACATAAACCACACATGTCCCACACACACATACGCACCAACCCAAATCATCACCACACAGTCTGCCTCTCTTTGGCCTTGAACTCAGACTCTCAGAGCCTTAGATTTCAAGAGTTCTGTCTGAATGTACACCATTTTGGCACCAAATATTCCATACCAATGACATTCCAATTTGCATTCTAGAATGCAACTGTCATGGAACTTTTGGTGGCAACATGGCGCCCATTAAAAAGTCTAAATCTCAAACTGAGTTTTCTGAAGTCTGAATATCTTAGGCCCGTAACCACAAGCTAGTTTTAGCGGTGTGGGTGTTTCCAGATGGTAGTTTTCTGTACTCAACCCATGTGGCTCACATACCCAGACTCTGCATGCCTTCTCCTGTCCGAGGGATGGGTTTAGAGAGACACAACTACCAATGCAGATCTGCAGTAACACTGCTTACCCTCTAGTCACAATCAACAGTCTATCAGATATCTCTGAGAGACCATTTAAACAACAATCAACAGTCTATAATATCTCTGAGAGACCATTTAGTGAGCAACAACAATCAACCTACATAAAAGATGATAGATATGCTGGAATAATCTCCAAAACCTCAACGCACACAAATAATCTGATTCTGAAATGACCTATAACCTGAGATTATTATTTCATAGATGACATATGACTCCTGAGTGGCGCTGTGGTCCTGGTTCGAATCCAGGCTCTGTCGCAGCCGGCCGCGACCGGGAGACTCATGGGCGGCGCACAATTGGCCCAGCGTCGTCCAGGGTAGGGGAGGGAATGGCCGGTGGGGATGTAGCTCAGTTGATAGAGCATGGCGTTTGCAACGCCAGGGTTGTGGGTTCGATTCCCACGGGGGGCCAGTATAAAAAAAAATATATATATATATGTATTCACTAACTGTAAGTCGCTCTGGATAAGAGCGTCTGCTAAATGACTAAAATGTAAATGTAAATATGAAAGCAAACCTAACGGCCATTTATTGAATTGCTTATTTGAAGTCCACACGGGTGCTAAGTATTACGATGATACTTAATAACACCAATGTCATCAGTGGCATTTCCCCCATAACATCCATAATATGATCATCACACAAGTCAAGCTGACCATTAATTCATCCCAGAAGCTAACACGGGTGTGTCCCAAATGGCGCCTTATTCCCTATATAGTGCACTACTTTTGACCAGCTCCTACTCTGGTCAAAAGTAGTGCAATATATAGATAATAGGGTGCCATTTCTATGCAGGCCACATCTCCCTGGACATACCCATGCTTAGTAAACCAGCATCATAGGAGTACATAGCCACACCTCACCTCTTCTCCCCTCACACAACTCTACTGTATCACATAGCATAACAAGGAAACTTGACTGCTTTTCTTAGTTGCTTTTATTTATTTTTACCCTTATTTGGGAGGTTTTAGCCTCTGAATATATTTTTATTCAGTTCCATTCTCCATTGTAAATTTCCCTGTTGAACTAAAAAGAGAAGTGTCGAGTGTTGTAATTGTTATTGTTTTTAATTAATTATTGATCATTTAATTTTTGGTATCGCTTGCGTCTTCTACTGACGAGAAACCTCACCAACTTTTTGATTTCTCTCGGTCTTGTCAGTTTATTTAAACATTTTTATATTCTGTTCGTGCGCTTAATACAGTAATATTATTTACCATTTTTTAAATTGACAACATCTTCATCTGCGCTAGTGTGTGTGTGTGTTTGTTTTCAGAGTACATTTGTTTTTAGAAATACTTCTTGGTTGTCAAAGAAAAAAGGAGACCAGAATGACATTACTGTATTAGATAGATTTGTTCAGAGAGTGAATGGAAGATGTTGGTAGGATCACAAGACCAATCCAACTCCTGTACAGTTCATTCCCTCTATAGAAGAATTAAAGGAATCAACAAGTTGCATTTTCCCTGTTTAGGTACAAATTACACACCAGAGATGGAGAGAGGGCAATTTCCTAAATATATTCCATATTGTTGGACTTTTTTTCTTTAGCAGTGTTATCAAAATATTTTGACCCTGTTTTTTATTCTTATGAAGGAAAGATGATCGTTACACCCATGAAGGAGCGACCACATTTTCTGTTTGAATAAAAAAACAAAATGAAGTTTAGTTTTCTGTAATTGTTCCAATTGTCCTTTTATTATGTTTATTCACACAACTACACCTTATTGTTTATTGAATGGGTGAATCTGTTGATAAGAAAAGTGAAGTAAAAGTTATCAGTGCATCATTTTCAAAGTGACATGACAAGAAGAGCGATATATTGTCATCAAGGATACATTTGTGACATTAGGTTTTTGTTCATGATATTGTTGTACAAGTGATCATGTTTTGAGATACAAAAAATGAGTAAAGAAGAATATAAAGATGTACTACGAATGATCCTGCAAAAGGAAATTAAATTGTATTTCCATGAAATAAAAAATGTCTAAATGAAAATGTACTAAGAATCATGTATGACCGTGTACATTGTAACTTGAAAATTCTGTAAATGCGTTTGAATATCGCCACAGCGTATCCAATATGTTTCAGAAGTCAGTTGGCGCTGGCGGAAGTCTCGTTTCCTCTGCGCTGATTGGTTAGATTCGTGTCGTCTCCTTTCCGGTTGGTTATGACGTTGCTAGTTTTGAAATTTCAGTGGGGCACGGTTTGTGTTGTTACTGGTGTTTTGAATTTGAAGCAGAGCGTTAGAACGCTTCGTGGCTTGCTATAACGTTTAAACTAGCTACTGATTTTCTAGTGAACTATTTCGTCCGAACTTAAGCCATGTCTTTTTCAAGAGCTCCAGTGAAACGATTTAATGAAAATATCGGTAAGTTAAAGCCTTAATAATGATTTAGCTGAGCAAACCTAGCCAACTAACGTTGCTTTCTTTGGCCTAGCTAGCTGCTTTAATTAAGTAACTAACAGTAGCCAGCTAATCTAACGTTAGCGCTAATCTAGCTAACGTAGCTATCCAACAATGTTTTGTAAAACATTGTTTACTAACTAGCTAACGTAAACATAGTTTTGGTTTGGTAACTAGTTAGTGCAGGAATGCTTAACGTTACTCCAATCCACCAAGCAAAGGGCAAACAAGTCCACGTCGGTTACGGTAGCTGACGTTACATGCCATGACATGTTAGCTAACGTTAATTAGATACATTTACATTTTAGTCATTTAGCAGACGCTCTTATCCAGAGCGACTTACAGTTAGTGAGTGCATACATTTTTTTTTTTTCATACTGGCCCCCCATGGGAATCGAACCCACAACCCTGGCGTTGCAAACGCCATGCTCTACCAACTACGCGGGTCCTATGATAGTCAGGCCAATGCGTTTACACAGGCAGCCCAATTCTGATATTTTTTTCTCACTAATTGGTATTTTGACACTAATTTAACAAATTATGAGAATTTGGCTGCCTGTGTAAACGCAGCCTAATTATTGTTTTCATGTTTTGTCCAGGCTGCGCCCCAGCACCGGGCACCTACGAGCTGAAACCAGGAGAGGTGAAGGGACCTGCCTCTTTCCACCGGTCAGAGCGCTTCAAACTGCTCAAGGCCAGTGGTGGTGAGTTTAACTGTCAAACAACTGAAGCGCTTCTCTAAAAAAAATGTATCATACTTTTGACAGTAGATCTATATTTAAACATCTATGATTTAGACTGTCACTCATAAGAAGTACAGCCTAGATGTTTTTACTTTCCACACCATTGTAATTTCACCATCCCCCTTTCCTCTCCATTCAGCTCCCTGCATCCCACCACCATCTCCTTCTAAAGATGTGCCCATGTCGCCTGTGCGTAGGACCATGTCTGTGGATGGCCTGGTAAGTTGGTGTTCACATAATCAACACATTGTCCCTGGTTGGCACAGCTACATCATCAAGATAACTGTGTCAGATTTTAGTTTACTCTAGGAACCAAATGGAAACAATCATAATGAAACAGGGAGGGACCTACCTGCATTTGTCCAATAGAAACTCTTGTTTTCCTTTCAAAACTTTTTTTTCCGTTTAGGGTAAACAGTTTCTGTTGCAAAATGTTTTGCAAGGAATCAGACTAATGGTTACACACCTTGTGCTTTAAAGGGATAGTTCAGGATTTTGTCAATGAAGCCCTTTATCTACTTTCCCAGAGTCAGATAACATCATGGATACCATTTGTACGTCTCTGTGTCCAGTATGTATGAAGGAAGTCAATGCTAACTAGTGTTGGCGCAATGACTGGAAGTATACAGGAACACCTAGCATGCTAGCTGTTCCCATAGACTTCCAGTCATTGCGCTAACGCTAGTTAGCAATAGGACTAATGCTAGTTGGCAGATTCCTTCAAACTGAATGCAAAGACATAAAAATGGTATCCATGAGTTCATCTGACTCTGGGGAAGTAGATGAAGGGTTTCATTGCCAAAATCCTGATCTAACTCTTGAACCCTAATGTAATGGCCCTCCTCTGCGATTCATTCTTCCATTCCTCCTTCACCCAGGTTGATGGGTCGATGTCAAAGAAAGACAAGAGTGGCCTATCGATGCAGATGAAACAGCAGAAACTCCTGGAGAAAGAGGTAGCCTAGTTATACAGACTTGTTTGAAGAGAAAATATATATAGATATTGTCTTGTCTGTCCCAATAGCATACATTGTCAGTGTTACCAGTTGAATGAAAATTAAAGTGACGAGATGTATTATTATTATTTTTTTGTCATTTAGCAGACGCTCTTATCCAGAGCGACTTACAGGAGCAATTAGGGTTAAGTGCCTTGCTCAAGGGCACATCGACAGATTTTTCACCTAGTCGGCTCTGGGATTAGAACCAGCAACCTTTCGGTTACTGGCACAACGCTCTTACCCACTAAGCTACCTGCCGCCCTCCATTTATCATGGATGTGGACACACGTTTTTCAGTTATCACAGCAGCTGTGACCTACCTTACTGCATGCCTTATTTTTTTCCTTCATCCTTCAATCTAATGCACTGATCCACCCCGTCTCCTCCCTCCCTCCTGTAGATCCGCTCCCTGGTGCAGCAGCGCGGGGAGCAGGACAGGCGCCTGGTAACCCTTGAGGAGGAGCTGAGGAAGGTGGAGGCAAAGCTGTTGTCTGCGGTCCGGGAGAAGACTGGTCTGGCAGCTAACGTCACCACCCTGGAGAGACAGCTGGCTGAGCTCAAGAAGACCAACGAGTTCCTCAAGAACAAGGTAATGTGGTGTTCGATGGTAGAATCAAGAGTTGGTATGCTCAAATCAATGGGTTGCTTTCCTGACACATTTGGCCTAGACCTGGAATAAAAAGCTATTTCAATGGAGAATCTCCATTTAAGAATGCTTTTTAGTCTTGAACGAGGATGAATCTGTGCTTGGAAAACAGGCCCAATAGTCTTAAAGCAAAAGTCTAACTGCAGGGTTAAAAAGGTATAAACTGGTTGTTGGTTATCTGGGTTAGTTGACAAAACAATACTACTATTGGGTACTACCCCCCCAACTTGTCCAATAAGAAATGTTGACATGTAAGTGTCTGACTGTGTTGTCGTTGTGTTCCACCAGGTTTCTGCAGACACCACTAAGAAGAGGATCCAGTCTCTGTCTATGGAGCTGATGGAGGCCAGAAACAAATTGGACGTCAATGACAAGGTACGACGCGTTCAGGCAGTACCCAAAGTTTTCGAATATTCAGATTGAAATATGCTGTGTAGAACAGATTAATATGTAGAATAAGTTACCACGTTGGTTCTATTCATCACATTTCTATCTGCAAGGTTTGGCTCTATTCATGGCATTTCTATCTGCATGGTTTGGCTCTATTCATGGCATTTCTATCTGCAAGGTTTAGCTACTGAAAGTGGCCCTGTTCACACACCATTCACTATCCTGTATCTAGTGGTGTTTGCCTTGCACACATCTCTCTCTCTAAATTATTAATGCGTGTGCTGATATTGTGTTTTTGTTCAGGAGCTGAGTTTCCTGCAGGTGTATGGGTGGTTGAGTGACTGACAGTTGTGTTGTCCTATCAGGAGCTGAGTTTCCTCCAGATCACTACAGAGGGCCAGGTGAAGTTGCTGGAGACAGACCTGGAGGCAGCCAGAGCTACACTCACTGCCCTGACTGAGAGGAACAAGGACCTGGGTGAGACCACATGCTTATCAATCAATTAAAGGTTATTTATACAGCACATTTCTGACCCAAAAAATGTAGTTTGAAGTCCTAAACAAATACAATAATAAAGGTGAGAAAGATGAACACATTTTAAAATGAAGAGATGCATTAAAATAGTAAAACAAGACTGGGTGGACTCCTTACCCCTAATACAGTAATAATAATAATAAATAATATGCCATTTAGCAGACGCTTTTATCCAAAGCGACTTACAGTCATGCGTGCATACATTTTTTTGTGTATGGGTGGTCCCGGGGATCGAACCCACTACCTTGGCGTTACAAGCGCCGTGCTCTACCAGCTGAGCTACAGAGTACCTAGCTTAGTTGGACTCCGCCTCCCTGAATTAAACTAAAATCGTTTTTTTAATGCAATTTTTCATTTTCACAGAGGACCTCCACCACGACACAAAAGTCCAGAATGAGGAGCTGGAGAATGAGATGGATACGCTGCAAGGTAAGTTGTGTGTTTGTGTCTCCATTCTCCCATCCTCCTCTGTATAATCCCTCCTTTAGATGGCATCATTCTAACCATGTGCTGTATATCTGTCTCTCAGCTGTGATCCAGGAGCTGAGAGAGGAGATCAATGTTCTTCAGGGTTACCTGGACACAGCCAACGACCACACCCAGGTACTAACATACTGGTCACTGAGGGAAGAAACATGTAAGGAGACACACACACGTCCAGCTACTAACAACATACTGGTCACTGATGGAAGAAACATGTAAGGAGACACACACACGTCCAGCTACTAACAACATACTGGTCACTGGGGGAAGAAACATGTAAGGAGACACACACACGTCCAGCTACTAACAACATACTGGTCACTGAGGGAAGAAACATGTAAGGAGCCACACACACGTCCAGCTACTAACAACATACTGGTCACTGAGGGAAGAAACATGTAAGGAGACACACACACGTCCAGCTACTAACAACATACTGGTCACTGATGGAAGAAACATGTAAGGAGACACACACACGTCCAGCTACTAACAACATACTGGTCACTGAGGGAAGAAACATGTAAGGAGACACACACACGTCCAGCTACTAACAACATACTGGTCACTGAGGGAAGAAACATGTAAGGAGACACACACACGTCCAGCTACTAACAACATACTGGTCACTGAGGGAAGAAACATGTAAGGAGACACACACACGTCCAGCTACTAACAACATACTGGTCACTGAGGGAAGAAACATGTAAGGAGACACACACGTCCAGCTACTAACAACATACTGGTCACTGAGGGAAGAAACATGTAAGGAGACACACACACGTCCAGCTACTAACAACATACTGGTCACTGAGGGAAGAAACATGTAAGGAGACACACACACGTCCAGCTACTAACAACATACTGGTCACTGAGGGAAGAAACATGTAAGGAGACACACACACGTCCAGCTACTAACAACATACTGGTCACTGAGGGAAGAAACATGTAAGGAGACACACACACGTCCAGCTACTAACAACATACTGGTCACTGAGGGAAGAAACATGTAAGGAGAAACTAATTGAATGGTCCATGATCATGCTTACATCGGGTTGTGGAAATGATAATTTAGAGGATGTTATAACATGCTGTTATATCTCCTTAGGATCTGCGTATGAAGCTTCGTGGGAAGACAGATATGATGAACAGCATCTCTGAGTCTCAGCAGGAGAAACTGGGGTGAGCAAATGCACATGTCCTCCCGGAACAACTGCTTTCAGAATCATTGAAATTCAGGGTTTATTTTTCTGTCCTTTTGACCTCTTCCTATATTTCTGTCTATGTTGAAATTGATGACATCAGTTTCCAAATTGTCTTGGTTGACATGCAAAACAAAAACACCTGATCTCACGCCATGTCCTTTTCGCTCAGCCATCTTGAGCAGAAACTTGAGCAGTGTACCGCAGAGCTCCAAAACTCTCAGAACACTCTCCGTCAGAAGGAGGAGGAGTCCGAGAAAGGTCAACAGGACCTGCAGGCTTCCCGGGATGCTTTGCAGGAGACTGAGAAGCTTCTGGAGCGGCGAGAGGCGGAGCTGACGTCTTCCCAGAGGGCATTGGGAGAGATAGAGGTGCAGATGCAGCGGGCCAACCAAGAAGTGTCTGACTCACAGAATGCACTGCAGCAGCAAGAGGCGGAGCTAGTGCGGCTGAGGGAGGTGCTGAGGAGGACCGGGGATGAGCTGGATGAGAGAGTAGCTCACCTGGAAGAGAAGTGCAAGGTCCTGGAGGAGGAGAGAGGTACACAATCCTAGTCTCTAATTATATTACTACCCTAAAGTACTACACTCTTCTTGATGGTTAATTGTAGATCTGAAAGAATGGGTCTAATGGGAACTTATCTTAAGCAAATTTATCAGTAATTTCTTATCTTACCCTTTTCCAGTTTTCCTGAAGGGTCAGGGTTTTGGGGAATTGTCTCTAGGTTGCTGTTATCAGTGTGGGCTCTATACCAAGTGTCTAGGTTGCTGTTATCAGTGTGGGCTCTATACCAAGTGTCTAGGTTGCTGTTATCAGTGTGGGCTCTATACCAAGTGTCTAGGTTGCTGTTATCCGCGTGGGCTCTATTCCAAGTGTCTAGGTTGCTGTTATCAGTGTGGGCTCTATACCAAGTGTCTAGGTTGCTGTTATCCGCGTGGGCTCTATACCAAGTGTCTAGGTTGCTGTTATCAGTGTGGGCTCTATACCAAGTGTCTAGGTTGCTGTTATCAGTGTGGGCTCTATACCAAGTGTCTAGGTTGCTGTTATCAGTGTGGGCTCTATACCAAGTGTCTAGGTTGCTGTTATCAGTGTGGGCTCTATACCAAGTGTCTCTAGGTTGCTGTTATCAGTGTGGGCTCTATACCAAGTGTCTCTAGGTTGCTGTTATCAGTGTGGGCTCTATACCAAGTGTCTAGGTTGCTGTTATCAGTGTGGGCTCTATACCAAGTGTCTCTAGGTTGCTGTTATCAGTGTGGGCTCTATACCAAGTGTCTCTAGGTTGCTGTTATCAGTGTGGGCTCTATACCAAGTGTCTCTAGGTTGCTGTTATCAGTGTGGGCTCTATACCAAGTGTCTCTAGGTTGCTGTTATCAGTGTGGGCTATATACCAAGTGTCTAGGTTGCTGTTATCTGTGTGGGCTCTATACCAAGTGTCTAGGTTGCTGTTATCAGTGTGGGCTATATACCAAGTGTCTAGGTTGCTGTTATCAGTGTGGGCTCTATACCAAGTGTCTGTGTGTATCTGTCTTTAGATAGGAGCCAGGAGGAGGGCCAGGGGAGAGTGGAGGAGCTGAAGGCAGAGCTGAGCCTCCTGCAGGAGAACAGGAGGAGTGAGAAGGAGGTGCAGGAGCAACTAGAGCAGACACACATCTCCCTGGCTGAGGAGCTGAAGAAGGAAAAGGTTAGTGATGTTGGGGATGACTTGGGTCCAATATGGCAACCATTAAAACCCTACATCTGACTGGTTCTGTCTCTCCTCCTCTCGTTCTCCCCAGGAGCATGCAGCCTCCCTGGCCTCGGTGCTGGAAAGGGAGAGGGAAGAGACAGAGGAGGAGAGGAAACAGTTGGAGGATGAGTTGGAGGAGGCTCTAGGGGAGCTGTCGGTTCTGGAGTTGCAGGAAGAGAGGAGGGAGGAGGAGGAGAAGAGGAGAGAGGAGGCCCTACAGCGTCTCCAGCAGGAGAAGACTGAGATGGAGAGAGAGCTGACTGAGACCAGAGCACTGCTAGACAGGTGAGAGTCTGGAGGTGTAGAGCTGAACTGAAAACATGAATGAAACACACTCTGTCAGCTTTGTTTTTAACATCCTTTGTAATAAAGTATTTCAAATAAGAGAAGTTGGTTGGCTGGAGTTGCCGTGGAGTTGAGCTACAGGTTTAGCTGCAGTTGGACTGAACTGAATCGATGACTTTACATCCCAAATAGCTACTCATTATGCAGTGCTTGACCGAAAGCCCCCCCCCCCCCCCCCCCCCCCCCCAAAAAAAAGGTCCACGACCCCATTTTTGCATCATTGTATGATGCAAGGACCCACTTTGCAAAATAAAATCCATTGTTATCATTATTATTACCATAGAAAATCTGACAAATGTAGGTTTCAATCTGTCTATTGGCTTCTTTGCATATTCAAACCTGTCTCAAAATACAACACTGCCCCTTTAAGGCTCTCCTGGAGGATGGTTGGCCACCCTTCATAGCCTATTACAACCAAATACTTTTTTTCTTTATAAACTAATTGGCTCATTCAATTAATCAGGGATCAAAATGCTAAGGTAGGCTATTTCTAAACAAGGTAACTAAGATATGCTTGTCTACTGTATCACTGATCAGAAACATTTAGCTTGCTAATGTAGGTTAAATCAAGGCTATTAACTAGTCACTCATATGCAACTCCAAAAGCCCACGGAGGTTGGGAAATATGAACCCGAGACTCGCATGCTTTTGAAAATATAAATTGCTATTCTTTTCTATGCATGTCATGATGAAGATGGTCCCAATGTAACACCCTACACCTGCCCCCTACTAGGCATAGAATTTACGCCTAGGTGTCCTCATAGAAGGGCTTACGACCAACTATTGCAACCGGCCCCGTGATTTGAAAAAGACAGCGTGTGCCTGTCAATGCAATGCAATACAATTCTACTCTGACTCGGTCTACAGAAATTGGGAGAACAGTGCTTAAAACATTGCATCCAGACGACAATCTGATCCCATTTCTGATCAGAGTAAATGTTTGATATTGTTATTATATATTTTTTTACTTAAATCTATAGTCTGCTTGCCGGAAATGTTTTATGTACTTGTCCCGGGCAAGAGGACAAGTGTTAATGTCAAGCCCTGTTATGTGATCAAGATGAGGGATTCTGCACCTCACCTTTGCTCAAACTGTACCTTTCAACTGTGTGTGTTGTATCTCCTTCCAGGAGGAGCAGTGATGTGGAGGAGGTGCACTCTGCTGCCTTGAGGAGGCTGCAGGAGGAACACACCACCTCCCTCAGCAAAATAGGAGACATGGCCACTGAACTGGAGAGGTAAGGAGTTGACCCTGCCCTCTCGTCCAATACGAATGTGCTTAAAGGGACAGTTTCACTCTTTCACTCTCCTTTCACAAGGAAAAAAACAGTTTCACTCTTGTTTCACTAAAGTTAACTTTTGACAGATTAAAACATCTGAAACTGCATTTTAAGTAAACTGTCCCTTTAACTTTGGGTTAAAGTATTAGCAGTCATGGCTCTGTAAAAGCTAATTTATGGTCAATCCAGGATCTGCAGTGTCAGTACAGCATTTATGGACCGTTCAGGGCATTCATACTTCTTGCGCTTTGCTTAGCAGAACTGTTGTGAATGAAGTTGAAGTGAGTTTATACAGGACATACTGCCCCCACCTGCCGTCAATGCAGAGATATACGGAGCCCTCCGCATTGTTACAAAATTTGGGAGATGCATGGCATCGCCGTACGGAGCTTGATTTGGCCTCCGTAGGGTCCGCAATTGTCACACCCTCCATACAGAGCCTCCGCACCGCATTCCCGGATCAGGCATAAATTGTCTTTAAGACTTAAATTTGTATTTTGTTCCACCAGCACCAGACAGGCCCTGAAGGGAGCAGAGGAGAGGGGTATAAAGCTGGAGGAGGAGGTGGAGAGGGTGACTAAGCAGATGAAAGAGGAGGTGAAGAGAGTGAATCAACATAAGGAGGAGGAGGTGAAGAAAGTGAGGGAGGAGATGGAGGAGGAGCAGGAGAAACATCTAGCTGACCAGCAGGCTCAGGAGAAAGCCAGAGAGGAGTATGCAAGGTGAGCTCATCATAAGGCTTCTTCTCAATATCTGGTGATTGAATGTGCAGTCTCTCTGACACTCTCCCTTCTCTCTCTCTCTTCCCCCCCATCTCTAGAATGCTGTTGGAGGTACAGACTCGTCTAGCTCAGAGAGATGAGGAGATGAAGAGGGCTGAGGAGGAGGTGCAGCGACAGCTGCAGGAGGAGAGGATGGAGAAAGAGGAGGTACAAAGGCTACTGGAGCAGGAGAAAGGAGAGAGGGAGGCGCAGAGGAGAGACTTGAAGCAATGGATGTCAGAGGAGGTGGGGAGGCTAGAGAGACGGGTGGAGGTGGTAGAGGAGGAGAAGCTAGCTCTTCAGTGCTTGGTAGGGGAGGTGGAGAAGGAGAAACTGAGCCTTCACAACCAGTTGGAGAAGATGGAGGACCAGGTAAAGAAAAATCTGCCCTGTCTAGAGAACCAAATGGAGGTAGAGAAAGAGAGGGATGATCTGAGAACAGTAGTGGAGATGTTTGAAATAGACAAACGGGGCCTTCAGGACCAGGTAGAACTAATACACAACCGTCTGGAGAAGGCCGAAGAACAGAGAGCGAGTCTCCAGAGCCAGGTAGAACTGATGGAAGAGGAGGTTTCTCTTCAGAGCCAGGTGGACCCAGTTGTCCAGGAGAAGGTTTCTCTCCAGAGCCAGGTGGATGTTGTGGTCCAGGAGAAGGTGACTCTCCAGTGGGAGATGGAGGAACAGAGAAGAGACTTCCAGAGACAGCTGGTGGAGACTCAGGACAAGAGGTGAGGAGGACCAGGAATCACTGACTAGGCTGTGAAAGTCAGGGCCTGTATTCGGGCCCAGATCATCTAGTAGAAGACAATGGTATTATAGCAGCAAACGATATGCTCTCAATACACTGTTCTAACTCTGTACTTTCCCCTCTCAGTGATGCAGAGACAGAACACTGGAGGAGACAGTACCAGGAGCTCTACACTAAGGTCAAGCCCTTCCAGGTCAGTCACAGCACAGGCAAGGGGTCGCCACTGCTGCATTATGGGAAATGTAGATCCTTTGAGTGTTTTTATGTTTTCTTCTTCTGTGTTGCTGCCAACGTTTATGTATATTCACCCATATAAGTAGTATGAGTAGAAGGGGTCCACCCACCATTGACTTAAACAGGGGAGAGCCCATTCTACTGTTTCAAATTCTATGTTCCTCCGGTTGGTTTGGCCCTGCAGGAGCAGTTGAATGGGTTTGCTGCGGAGCGGGATGCACTACTGAACGAGAACGGGGCGAACCAGGAGGAGCTGACCCGGCTAGCGGACGCCTACGCTCGTCTGCTGGGCCACCAGAACCAGAAACAGAAGATCAGACATGTGGTGAAGCTCAAAGATGAGAACGTCTCCCTCAAACAGGTCAGATACCTCCCTCTAGTTTGTGCATTTAAATACTGTATAAGCATGGGCTATATTGATTGGAGTAAACAAAATATGATTATAGCAACACATACACTTTAGTTACCACCAAATTGTGGAGTAGGAGTTTAACCATTTTATTGTTTTCATATATCCACTTCTTTTAAATCCATGAAATGGGTGTTGGTTAAAGCTTTTTGGGTATACTGCAGTAAGACATGATTGTAAACTGTGTGTGTGTGTGTAGGAGCTGTCTAAGCTGCGTGCCCAGGTGTCCCGTCAGAAGAAGGGAGGCCAGCCCCAACGCAGGGTTGACCCCAGCAAAGCCTTCAACCACCAGGACAGCAAGGAGAACCAGCAGCCTGCTGCCACACCTCTCAGACAGGGTGAGTACACACACACCAGCGTTTCTTTAGTGGGTAAATGACAGCTTTTGGCCGATAAAGACATAAAAACTGTCACATAAACATTGTCCGGCAGAAAATATCCTAATGAAAATAAATATCCTTTATCAATCACATTGGCTGCATGGCGGTTGGTTCAGGTTGTCTTTCAATGGCATAACCTCTCTACTCTGCCTGACTGTCTTGAGCTTGTGCTCCCATAGTGAACTTGCAACAACAACTTGGCCCGACCTGTGACAGACACAGCTGTTTTTTGCGCAATGGAGAAGTGTTCATGTATTTTATGATTGCTTTTTCTTGATTAATCTCCTGAAGAACTGACAGAAATGTCCACTAATGCCTGTTTTGAATAGGGTATAGCTAGCTTAAAAATGTTAAACATTTTAAATCAAGATAGCTAGCTACAGATGTAGGGTCTTCATTTGAGCTAGGTTGCTATAGCGGGAAAATAATCCTGCATCAACAGGAAATGTGAATTATTATGTGGATTTATAATTAATGGACATTTTTGTTGGGGCTGATAGATTTTTCGTAAGGGAAATTGCAAACTTCAGAAGCCTTTTTAAACCTAAAATATACCCCTCATCGGAGGACCAAATAAAACCGTTGTTTGTTACATATACATACTATATACATTTTATGGACATGGTGCTGTTTTTTTTATATTAGTTACTTACTACGTATGGATACTGTAGATAGAGTATATTTGGCTAAACTCTGTACCGACATTTGACCGTCACAAATTTTCCCAAAGGAAAATGCTACAACTAACCCTAATCCTGTCTCTTTCAGGAAACCGCTGTTGAAAGTTAGACAATGGACAGAGACACTAGTAGACAGCACCAACTGCCCTGGATGAACAGGACTAATTGTATTGAGTCAAGAGGATGTCATGGTCTTGCGTATATTTATTTCTCATTTTAAACCAGATGTTCTGAAAAGCTACTAGATGGATTTATAATGGGGGGGGGTTGTAACCCTGCATATGTTTTAGGAGAGCCATCAGAACCAACGTGTGAATTATGTCAGTTTCAGCATGAAACATGCCCCTTTCTTTTTCTACATAAGCATTCATATTAAGCACAAAATAAATGTTTTGTTTGTTCATAACATACAGTTTTGCATAATGCAAATATGTTTTAGCTCTATACATTTTAACATGTCTTTTTCTTTTTGTCTAATAAACATTTGTGGTCATCTTGTTTCCAGAGGATGGGAATGTAACTTCTCTTTTTGACTGTTTTAACTTTCTTCCAAAATACTGACTCTCTTGTAAATTTAAGCTCCAAATGTTTGCTATTTTCCTTAACACTGAGAGAAGCGGGAGGATTGTTTTAGATAGATGTTTTCAATGAATTTATGTACTAAGTGTGTTATTCGGTAAGGGATCCCAATGGGATCATCCCATACAATCCTATTGAAATGACTTTGTTATGCCTTACCCTTGCCTGCCAGGGGCCTGTTTATTCAGCAAAAAATGGGGGAACACTTTTTTTTTTAATGAAAAAATTAAATGTGTTAAACGTCCCATACTTCTAAACTCATATACTAGTTTGATCGGACACTACTGTGAACCAGCGTACCTGCTCATCAGAGCTGTATATTCTAGGCATTCAGTTACATCTCATTATTTATATTCCCCATGTTTAATGGGGCGCTAACATTGGGTGCTTTTGTAAATTCACACAGGCAGAAACCTCAATGTCCCAATTCTCAAAATATGTCTCTGCTGTTTTGTCTCCTGACATCAACAGCCACACACCTCTGTAGCCAGTAGAGAGCACTCAACTTCAACATTCCAACTCACAGTCTAAGGTTACTGGTCATACACATTTTTATTTTTATTTTTTTTAGGCATCCCCAACATTTTTTTTTATACAAGATTGATATTATGTCCTTTCACTCTTGAGGCTAGTCTGCACTCTGGTCAATCGAGTGTAGAATGAGTAGACTCCAGTCAGTCGCAGTAGCTCTGCAGGTGGCTGAAGCTACATGGCTGATGACAGCACTGTTCCACAATGCCTCTCTTCACCTTCTGGTCTTCATGGTCCTTCCATGGACGTTCCTGCTTCACCCTCCAACCCTGTCTGCTCCTCTTAGACAGGAACCCTTTGATGTAGAGGGAGAGAAATGGAGGGATGCAGAAAGCGAGAGTTCCCAAAAGCTGTGAAGTAAAGCATATCAGCAAACTCCTTCACAGACGCAAGATACAATTTAGACTGTTGGCTGTTTAACAGAGACTTAATGGGCGTGTTATCGGAGCTTCACAATCCATTTTAGTCTTGTTTAAGGCTCGCCACATCCTTCAGAGGAGAGATCTGACAGACGTAGCACAGCTTCCTACCTCTGAAGTAAAGTTAACTTCAGACACTTCAATGGGATGCTTGAGCAGCACGGTTTTAACTGAGGTGTTAGATCCACTTAGATCATGTTCTGGGAGCAAATATAATAAGGAATCTGGAGAATTCACAAGGAAGGCGGTAGTTAGGAACGGTCTCGACAAAAGATCAATAGGGACAGCTACAGTATGTGACAAACTTCAAGAGAAGGTATACCCTCTTCAACATACCCTCTTCACAGATGAAAGAATAGAATCTGAAGTCAAATGTCTACTGTTTGCTGATGATCTGGTGCTTCTGTCACCAACTACGGAGGGCCTACCTAGATCTTCTGAACAGATTCTATCAGACCTGGGCCCTGACAGTAAATATCAGTAAGACAAAAATAATGGTGTTCCAAAAAGGTCCAGTTGCCAGGACCACAATTACAAATTCCATCTAGACACCGTTAACCTAGAGCACACAAACTATACCTACCTCGGTCTAAACATCAGTGCCACAGGTAACTTCCACAAAGCTGTAAACAATCTGAGAGACAAGGCAACAAGGGCCTTTACACCATCAAAAGGAACATAACATTTGACATCCCAATTAGGATCTGGCTAAAAAATACTTGAATCAGTTATTGAATCCATTGCCCTTTATGTTTGTGAGGTCTGGGGTCCACTCACCAACAATAATTCACAAAATGGGACAAACACCAAATTGAGACTGCATGCAGAATACTGCAAAAACATTCCCAGTGTACAACATAAAACGCCAAATAATGCATGCAGAGCAGAATTAGGCCGATACCCGCTAATGATCAAAATCCAGAAAAGAGCCGTTCAATTCTACAACCACCTAAAAGGAAGCAATTCCCAAACCTTCCATAACAAAGCCATCACCTATAGAGAGATGAACCTGGAGAATAGTCCCCTAAGCAAGCTGGTCCTGGGGCTCTGTTCACAGACTCCACAGAGCCCCAGGACAGCAACACAATTAGACCTAACCAAAATGAGAAAATATGTATATATTTACTTGACACATTGGAAATAATTTACCAGAAAACTAAGCAAACTGGAATGCTATTTGGCCCTAAACAGAGTACACAGTGGCAGAATACCTGACCACTGTGACTGACTCAAAATTAAGGAAAGCTTTGACTATGTACAGACTCAGTGAGCATAGCCTTGCTATTGAGGTAGGCAGACCTGGCTCTCAAGAGAAGACAGGCTATGTGCACACTTCCCACAAAATGAGGTGGAAACTGACTGAGCTGCACTTCCTAACCTGCCAAATGTATAACCATATTAGAGACACATATTTCCCTCAGTTTACATATCTATTGAGTGAAATACCACAGTGTGCCATCACAACAGGAAGTTTTGTGACCTGTTGCCACAAGAAAAGGGCAACCAGTGAAGAACAAACACCATTGTAAATACAACCCATATTAATATTTTTATTTTCCCTCTTGAACTTCAACTATTTGCACATCATTATAACACTGTACATAGCCATAATATGACATTTGAAATGTCTATTCCTTTGAAACCTGTGGGTAATATATATATATTTTTAACTAGGCAAGTCACTTAAGAACAAATTCTTAATTATAATTACGGCCTACCCCGGCCAAACCCGGGCGACGCTGGGCCAATTGTGCGCCACCCTATGGGACGCCCAATCACGGCCGGATTGTGATACAGCCTGGAATCAAACCAGGGTCTGTAGTGACGCCTTTAGCACTGAGATGCAGTGCCTTAGACCGCTGAACCACTCAGGAGTAATGATTACTGTTCATTATTTATTTTTTTATTTCACTTTTGTTTCTTATCTATTTCACTTGCTTTGGCAATGTAAACATATCTTTCCCATGCCAATAAAGCCAATTGAATTGAATTTAATATAGGGAGGGGAGGGGGACTGCAGGACTATAGACTTGTTAAAGGTTACAGGAAAGCATGCTAGCAGATATCCATAGACTTCCAGTCATTGCGCTAACACTAGTTAGCATTGGCTCACGAAACTAACTAACTTCCTTCATAATGTACACAGAGACATGAATGGTATCCACTAGTTCATCTGACTCTGGGGAAGTAGGTAAAGGGCCTCATTGCAAAAATCCAGAAATATCCCTTTAACAATATACCCTCTCTTTCAAAATGTGTCGGCTTATAATAAAATAGCATCATGTATTTAAAATATATTGAATATAGTGCCTCCACCCTTCAAATCACCCGTTCTCAGTCTCACCTATGAGGTGTTGCAGGAGTAGGTCTCTGGGGGATCTGTGGGGGATATAGAAGAACCCTTGTTCCCCACAGACCAGGTAGAGGGCATCCACCAGGTGAGAGCCACACAGGTGCTGGGCGCTGGGGGCTGAGCAGACCCCGGGGGATGACAGGACCAGCAGTAACAGAACAGACAGTGCCCATAGTACCACAGCCATATAAGATCTGGAGGGAGAGACAGATCATTGTACCACAGCGATATACGATCTGGAGGGAGAGACAGATCATAGTACCACAGCCTTATAAGATCTGGAGGGAGAGACAGATCATAGTACCACAGCCATATAAGATCTGGAGGGAGAGACAGATCATAGTACCACAGCCATATAAGATCTGGAGGGAGAGACAGATCATAGTACCACAGCCATATAAGATCTGGAGGGAGAGACAGATCATAGTACCACAGCCATATAAGATCTGGAGGGAGAGAGAGGCCATAGTACCACAGACAGAACAATAGAAAGAGAGCTAGTTGAGAGAACATGGCGAAAGAGAGAGGAAGTCTATGCCCAAATCACAGGGACAGGCAGGGTGTGCATGGTTTTGTTCCAGCCCAAGCACCAACACGCCTGATTCAACTAATCAACTCATCATCTAGCCCTACCTTGTTTTCTGGATTATCTCTTGGATTAGGATCAGTATACACTGTATAAATACTCTGTGACAGACAGACAGACAGACAGACAGACAGTGAAACGTAAGGACACCGTAGGTAAAGGTAAATTATGAACCAGGGTTGGGGTCAATTCCATTTCAATTCATCAATTCAGAAAGTAAACCAAAATTAAATTCCAAATTATAATTATTTCATTGAAAAGCATTGAAGAGAATTTGAATTTGAATTTCAGTATACTTCCTGAATTGACTGGAATTAAAAGAGTAATTGAACCCAACCCTGTTATGAATCCACTTACCTGTGGTGGAGCTAGGTCTCAGTACAGAGAAACAGACAGCCAGGTGAGGGGAGAAGAGCAGGCGTTGACGAGGCAGCCAGGTAACAGGTAGAGCACACGTGACCGTCCTCCCCTCTGTCCTTTATACCTCTCCCTCTCCCTCTTTTCCTCTCAGCCAGGCCTTTGTTTGACAGCATCAGCGGAAAAAGCTATTTTCCTGACTGTCATTAAACCCTTTGAGCTGCCTGTTGAGCTGCCTGTTGAGCTGCTGTAAGAGGTACTGGGAGATCTATCTGGCCTTATATGGGCTTTTTCCATAGCAACACCTGAGTGTCTCCAGTGATTATAATATGTAAGCTCTAGTGTTATTATTATTGAAGAGCAGAATCAACAACCTCTGCATTGTCAACAGTTGCTTTGTGAGAAGGTGTTAACCGTTGAAGGTGTTAACCAATGTTCACAGTTAGTTATTCTTTTTCGGGCCGCCCGAAAAGACCCAATCGTTCTCGTCTTGGCCCCAAGACAGCAGGTCCGCTTAGGCCATGGCCCAATGAATTACGAGCCGGGCCATGGAGGTGGAAACATCTGAGCCTTTTTGGTAAAACACCGGGTTAAATCCTCAGTGGAAATTCGGCGATAGAGACCTACAGGAGAAGTTACGTTTGTGTTATATGGGCAGGATACACATGGTGGATACAAGGTGAAATAGGCAATCACCTAGAGACATAGCTACACTGTTTAGCAAGCCTACAATAGGCAGGTAGGTGTAGTGTACAGTAGGTCTACTGTAATGACACCAGCTGATATCTGCTAGGGCAGTGGTTCTTAAACCTCTCCTCAGGGACCCCCAGACATTTCACATTTTCCGATGTAGCTCACCTGATTCACCTAGTCAAGGGCTTGATGATTAGACGACAAGTTGAATAATGTGTGCTACCTCTGGAATAGATCAAATTCCTGGCATGGCTTGGGGTCCTCCAGGAGATAACCACTGCGCTAAGGCATGACTGCAGTCTGTATTTGGTTAAATAAAGGTTAAATAAAAAATAAAAAAATAATGACAGTAGAGGCCTATTACATAGAGTGTTGTTATTGACCACTAGTGGACAATGACAGGTACTGCATAGATTTACATTGCGGCTGTGGAAGGACCAGCTATGAGCACGCCCGTGGCTGTTAAGCTTTATTCTAACCCTAAGGGTCATACTAGAAGCTGAATGTAATATAAAACACTGGCTGTGTTCGAGAGGGAAGGATTCTTCTGAGGCTAACAGATGTCCAACCTCTTCAAAACTGAAAGGTCTAGTAGGAGAAGGAACTGAGAACATCAGGGTTTGCTGGAAAACAGAATAATGAAAGGCAAGCCTCTGAGAGAGAGAGATGAAAGAGGAGGAGGAGGAGGAAGAAAGTGACAGAGCACCTTGGCAGAGTGAGAGGTAGAGTGTTAAATGTGGAACCAAGGAGAGGTCCGACGCTGGCAAATGTTGAAAGAGGCTCCTCAGGGGACCGGGAGCAAAGCAGCTGGAGAGATGGAGATGGAATGGAACAACACACGCATTCACACACAGACACACACACCCTCACTCTGGCTTCAAACATACCTACATGCACACCACACACACACACACACACACACACACACACTCCAGCTTCAAACACACACATCACACACACTCACATGTACATCAAATACAGAACGACACCCAGACTAAGAGACAGAGTCATTCAGACAGAAGTTGGGAGAAAAGTTGGTCTCTAAGGTGGGGGTTGCGTAACCTCCGTCTGAGCAGATAACATGGGGAACATGGAGTTCAGCCAGCTGGGAAGTCCTTAATCTGCCCACAAAGTGCCCCTCTTTTCTCCCGTAATGATCTCTAACTTTCTCGTGATGAAAACTACTTCATAGGCCTTTGTGATTTGAGTTGTTGTTCTTCAAAGTGAAAGGAAGTGATGGTGTGTGTTCAAAGAGACAGTAAGATATGGTGCGTGTTCAAAGTGAAAGGAAGAGATGGTCTCTCTCTCTCTCTCTCTCTCTCTCTCCTCTCTCTCTCTCTCTCTCTCTCTATATCGATATCTCTCTCTCTCATCTCCTCCTATCGTAGATCTCTCTCTCGTATCCTCTATCCACAACACACATATGTGTCACAGATCAAAGCCAAACAGGGTGGACTGTGGCTCACACGGAGGGTACCAGCACCGAGCGTAGGGAAGAGTCCCACTTCTGTCAGAGTCAGTATGGCTGAGGTTTATGTTTGGTGTGTGACAGGATGCACCTGCTGTCTGCTCTCCTCTCTTTCCAGTCAGTGACCAGTTACTAAAGCAGCACAACCTCTGTCACGACCTGCTTTGTACCATGACACCCCTGTCTAGACCAGTAGAGCTCTATCTCTCTCTCTCTCTCTCTCTCTGTCTCTCTCTCTCTCTCTCTCTCTCTCTCTCTCGCTCTGTCTCTCTCTCTCTCTCTCTCTCTCTCTCTCTCTCTCTCTCTCTCTCGCTCTATCTGCTCTGTCTCTCTGTCTCTCTCTCTCTCTCGCTCTCTCTCTCTCTCTCTCTCCAAACACACTTGACCCCTTCATCCTTGCAAAATAAAGGTTGAAGTGAAAATAGTTTAATGATTGCTTTTCACATTATTCTAGTAATCAAAAATCCACTTTCCCCATTCATTACTAAAGAGCAAGAGGCAAAAAGTCAAATAAATGTTCATACTGTCTGTTCTTGGCATGTTCTTTTAAGTGAAATTGGCATATTACAATGTGAAATTGGCATATTTTGCTCAGTGGCAGAGGAGGGTGTGACTATGAGAATGGGCTGACAACGGAATGTGACAACACCCTGGAGAGATGGGATGAGATGAGACGACAGGCTCGTTTGATTTCTCACCATAGAAATAGATATATTTAAACTCTCGTGTGATTGCCCTCTTGGACCTGGACTTAGTGAGACGGATGGAGAGAAAAAAACATTTAGAATAGCGGTTTGTCTTCGCTGCTGTGTGGGTGGTAGTTTGACGGATTGATATGAGCACTCTTTTCTATCAACGTTATGTTTCATATCCGAGAAACAGGATCGTGTAATTTCTCTCGGGAGTCACTTCGTACCGTAACCTCACCAAATGTCTATTATTACACCTTAAGTCTGTGGAATACAGGCAGATCGCACAAGAGTGACTTCAAAATTGGACATCTAACGATGTCCTGAGGTCGTCGGGAAATGCCTTCAAAACCAGCCACTACGGCTCTGGATCAGAAGGTTGTGTGTTCGATTCTAGTGGTGGACACTAGTTTTTATTTGTATTTGTTTGTTTTAACCCTATCCCAAACCTTAACCCTCATCTTAACATTTCGGAATGAGTTCCTAAACGTAATGTTTTAACCCTATCCCAAACCTTAACGCTTATCATAACAATTCGGAATGAGTGCCTAAACATAATGTTTTAACCCTATCAAAAACCTTAATCTTCTAAAATGTATGTTTGAAGCGACATTGAAATTTGATGTTTGGAAAAATGTGGATAAACGTCTAATTCTGCAGTGAGACTGTGAGAGCTAGTGGCAGGAATAAGGTGTTGCCTGTTTAAAATGTGCTCCATGTGTTATGTTCCTCACAGACCAAGGTTGATAGTAATCTTGGTTGAGAGTAGGAATTG